ACCCAAATAAATGTGATCCCATCCCATCACAGGTCCTGTAATGAGGATGCTTCATTTTAGGATTCTTTCCCCAAAGATGCTTCAATTCCACCCGGCGTGTCATAAAGTTCCACGGGAGGTGATTTAACCCTAAAAACGGTGCTACGAGGGACTGAACCCAGGAAATCCCATTACACTCAAGCATTACCTGGTCTATTTATTCCTACATTTTAATTTCCTGTTTCAAAATGATGGTTGCACAGAAACTTGCTAAATTTAAGCAGAAATGGAGCTGAAGGGTTTATTGAGCACAAAACTGGAGCTAAACTGTAAAAACGAAAAGCTGAAAAACGATTTTTAGAGCCAGTTTGTTGTAAGAAACAAACACAAACATGATTAACTCAGAAATAACCTGGTGGACGTATACAACATTTAGGTATTTTGACTTAATTGAATCCATTTGCATGAAAGTACCAACACCTAAAGATCTAACCCTAACCCCGGGGCGTCTGGCTGGTTTTGGGACGCTGGAAAACTCATCTTAAATGAGACGTGTCACAGCTCGTTTTAAACAACGTTTCATAGTTCAATGGGCAATTCAAAACACACCCATGAAGTTCTCTGCACTAAATCCCTCTCACATTAAACAATCTTAGGAATGCTATTCTCAACAGTTTCTGTATCTTCCAGAATGACGGACTCGACACACGGGAGGCGACAAACGACCGCGATCAGCGAAATTCGTCGTCTTCGCTTTTATTACCTGACACACGGGAGGCGCAACACATTCTCACACCCAAAGCGTCAAAATATGACGCGTGTGACCGAGCATCAACATATGATGATTCGGGACGCCCCAACGGGTCAGGAGACGACGATCAGGGACAAGCTGGGTCACGTGGCTCCGCTGGCGTCACTGTTTGACGTGCGCAGTCACACGGACATTATTCGACTATTTAACCTTCCCCTCACCCCAATCCTAACCGTAAGGTCAGTAACTATGACCTTAAGGTTAGGATTGGGGTGAGGGGAAGGTTAAGTAGTTCACAAGTGGTTCTAATGTCCGTCTCACCAACGGCGTCGAATGCCGACGCTCTGGGGCGGTGCAACATCAGTGTGTCCCTGATCATCGTCTCCTGAAGCGCTGGGGCGTCCCGAATCGTCATATTTTGACGCTTTGGGTGTGAGAATGTGTTGCAGGTTTCTGCAGGTTTAAGGGAGCCAAATTTAAGACTTTTTAAGACCTTTTTAAGGCCACTTTGACCAAATTTAAGCAATTTAAGCAGGGCAGCAGTAGCTCAACAGGTTCAGCGGGTTGTCCAGTAATCGGAAGGTTGCAGTTTCGATCCCGGCTCCGGACAGAGAATACTGCTGTTGTGTCCTTGGGCAAGACACTTAACCCAACTTGCCTGCTGGTGGTGGTCGGAGGGACCGGTGGCGCCTGTGCACGGCAGCCTCGCCTCTGTCAGTGTGCCCCAGGGCAGCTGTGGCTACATCGTAGCTCATCACCAACAGTGTGTGAATGGATGAATGATACACTGTAGTGTAAAGCTCTCTGGAGTCCTTACTCTGACAGGCGCTATACAAGTGCGGGTCATTTATCATTTTTAAGGATTAAATTTAAGCTATAATTTCCAGCTATTGCCTGGAACCGGTGCTAACCACGCCGCGATCGTGGGATTAGCCATCCAGTTACCATTAAACTTGCACTTCCCCATGGCGCAATCTCCCATTAGCTTAACCAGCTAACGTGCTCATCTAAAAATAGCCCCCTTTCACAACCAACTGAATGTATACGGCTCCGCTTACGCCAACACCGTACACAAAAAATGCTGAAGACTAACTAGAAATTCACGAAAATTTTATAGAAATAAAAGAATCTTGTTTATTGGGTCTTTGGTAATTTAAGACCTTTGGAAACTGTATTTAAGGATTATTTGTCATTTTTAAGGATTTTTAAGGCCTTAAATTTGGAAAAGCTAATTTAAGACTTTTTAAGGACCCGCAGATACCCTGTGTTGGGAGGCGACCCGCGGCAGCGGCCAGCGGCAAAGCCGTCGACGCATTCTGGTCCACGGCGAAATGGAGTCTTCCATTGTTTTGATTGGCTGTGTCAGGTTGGAGGGAATTAAGGTTATTTAAGCGGTTCAGAGCTGAAACAGCGGTAGATATGATGTTTCACAAGGTGCTGCTAGAGTTATGTGAAATCTTACTTCTGATTTTACTGTATAAAAAAAATCAGAAAATGGGTTCATCCCTTATTACAAACCAGAGAAAGAAACGGAGAATGCCATCATTTAATGAGGGACTTCAAGGACGATCCTGATCAATTCCGGCCCTACTTTCACCTCAGCCCAGAGCTATTCATCCATCTTCTCACCCAGGTAACCCCAAAGATAGAGAAGATTCACACAAACATGAGATGATGAGTAACAATGTAGCCACAGCTGCCCTGGGGCACACTGGCAGAGGCAAGGCTGCTGAACACTGGCGCCACCCGTCCCTCTGACCGCCACCTACCTAACTTACTGTGTTTGACTCGTCTTTGACATCTAAACCCTTCTGGCGCTGATCTGCAACTGGCAGCAGAAAGCGATGTTATAGCTTAGGAAAATAGTCTGCAGTTACCTAGTTTGACTGCAGGACATAATTCTTACAAGCTGCACCTTTTAGGACATGATCAGAAAAATCTAAGTTGTGCAATCAGACATTTTTAAATGTTTATTCTTGCTTAATAAAACTTCAGGAATGTCACAAATTCAGTTTAAAGAGCCTTTCCATCAGCCACTTCTCATGCCTGATTGATTTTTAAACTAAGATCATCTAAGATCATGGAACATTTCTGTCACAAACATGTTCTGGTCAAGGTGCGCAGCAGTCCGGAGCGCAAAGCAGGCCAAACACGTGCAAAGTATGAAACCCGCACTTGTATAGCACCTCTCAGAGTAACGACTCCAAAGCGCTTCACACTACAGTGTATCATTCATCCATTCACACACTGATGGTGATGAGCTACGATGTAGCCACAGCTGCCCTGGGGCGCACTGACGGAGGCGAGGCGGTTAAGTGCAGAACAGCAGAATTCTCTGTCTGCAGCCGGGATCGAACCTGCAACCTTCCGATTACTGGACAACCCGCTTAACCTGTTGAGCTACCGCTGCCCCATGAGTTTTGTATGCTGAAGTTCATTAGCTGTGGCAGCCATCTTGAATTGAATGGATTCATGTTGTGTTCATTCTGAACATTTCATTAAAGTTGTTGAGATAAATCAGAGTAGTTTCTTTTCCTTTTTTTTTTTCTTTGTAGCGCCAAATCACGACAAGAGTCGTCTCAAGGACCTTCACACATTAAAGATTCCAATACAGGTCAGGTCATTAAGCCAGTCAGTAACAAGTTTCCTATAAAAGGAACCCAGCAGGTTGCATCGAGTCACTGACTAGTGTCAGAGTCTTCAGCAATCCTCATACTAAGCAAGCATGCAGCGACAGTGGAGAGGAAAACTCCCTTTTAACAGGAAGAAACCTCCAGAGAATCCTGGCTCAGTATAAGCAGCCATCCTCCACGACTCACTGGGGATGGAGAAGACAGA